TTTGAATTTTATGGTCAATGATGTTACCCTTTGGTGGCCAATGTGAAAACTCTATTCTCTATTTCTGTTGAAACTCTATTCTCTACTTTGGCCAATGATGATATATTTATGCAAGAAGTTAATTATAATACGTAGTATAAACATGATTTGATTTTTTTTTGTTAAAACAACTTTCAAAGTAAAACTCATTAACTTTCACAATTGGTTATATAAAGGCAGTTGTTCTCTTACAGTTATAACCTTCAATTGGTTAGGTCCACAAAAAATAAACATGTGAAATGATATATAGATAAAATGAGAATGTAAATGTTAGCCAAGTTCTATCTAGGAAATTATTCATATTTACGTTCTTCAGTTAGGATACATATATTGTGAGTGTGTGCAAGTCATGGATGTCAGAAGTCAGAACACATTTGAATAAGCGAAGTGCACATGCATGCAGGTGTTTGGACAAGGCAGCGGTTGTGACACAAAAAGACCGATTTGGGTCGCCGAGCCCATGGAGGCTGTGTACGGTGACTCAAGTGGAAGAGGCCAAATGTGTGCTTCGGATGCTTCCCATCTGGCTCTGCACCATCATGTACTCAGTCATCTTCACCCAAATGTCTTCCCTCTTTGTTGAGCAAGGTGAAGTCATGAGTGCCCGCCTTGGCACTTTCCGCATCCCTGCTGCCAGCATGTCTGCCTTCGACATCTGCAGCGTCCTTATCTGCACCCTCCTCTATCGCTTCGTCGTCATCCCCTTCACTTCTACCCTCAGCAAAAATCCCAAGGGCATCACCGAGCTCCAGCGGATGGGTATCGGCCTAGTCATCGGAATGCTTGCCATGCTGGCTGCTGGCTTCACCGAGATTCAACGCCTCCGGCGGGTTTCCCCTGGGGAGCAAATGAGCCATCTCAGCATCTTGTGGCAAATCCCACAGTACATTCTTGTCGGAGCATCTGAGGTTTTCATGTACGTCGGGCAGCTGGAGTTTTTCAACGGCCAAGCCCCTGACGGGATCAAGAGTTTTGGAAGCTCTCTGTGCATGGCGTCCATGTCGTTGGGGAACTATTTCAGCAGCATGTTGGTGAATGTGGTCATGGCCATCACTGTCCGGGGAGAAATCCCGGGGTGGATACCGGAAGACCTGAATACTGGGCACATGGACAGGTTTTACTTCCTCATCGCCGGCCTTGCTGCTGTCGATCTTGTGATGTTTGTGATGTGTGCGAGATGGTACAAATGCATCAAAGTTGAGGACAACAGCCATAATGATGACCCCAGCTCTTCGCGCTTGAAAGAAAGCCAGCAGTTAGATGATGATGAAGAATTAGATCAAGTTTAATTTGATTCAGTTAATTAATCTATTCATTATTAGTTAGACCTATCATTCTTTTTAACCAACGGTTACTATTGATTCATGATGTACATACGTAAATTATGGCTGGACTCGGGCCGGTTCGGGCCCGGTTCGGGCCTGGGCCCGGCCGGGCCTCGGGCCAGAAAACCCCGGGCCCGGGCCCGAACCGCCGGTGGGCGGTTCCGGTTCCGGTTCCGGGCCAAACCGGGCCGGGCCGGGCCGGGCCGAACCGGCCCACTTAATTTTTTTTTTTTTTTGGTCTCCTATTTAATCCCCTACCCCTCCCCCTCAACCCCAAACCATCCCAAACCACCTCAAATGGCCCAAAATACCTAATCCAACCTAAAACTTAAAAAAATTTCAAAAAAAAAAAAAAAAATTAAAATCCGGCCCGGACCGGGCCCGAACCGGCCGGGCCGGTTCACCAAAACCTGGGCCCGGGCCCGAACCGCCCAGCAGCCGGGCCGGGCCGAACCGAACCGGTGGACCCACCGGGCCCCGGGCCGGGCCGGGCCTAACAGTAACCGGGCCGGGCCGGTTCCGGGCCGGGCCGCCCGGCCCGAGTCCAGCACTAACGTAAATACGTAATAACGTTAGTTAATAAAAACCTCTTATCTTCGTCCTATTTGATTTGAATTTTTGTATTGTCATTTCACATTTTTATGTAATTTGATGCGGGTCTTTTCGACCTATTTTGCTTGTTTCTAGTTGGGGTTTTGACATAAATAAATCTAAATTGAAAGTCATAGGACAACAATAGGATTAAGGGGATGTATTGGTTTGAGACATTTTAAAATATTTTGAGATTTGTGTTCAAATCCAGACTTTCCTGGAATCGATCGGACATTGCTTAAGACATTTCAAGACATGTTAAAACCCTGAAGATGAGTTGAAGAGGACTCATCCTTGAAGATGAGTTGCTTCCAAAGTTCATTGCAGAGGACATTGCTTAAGACATTCCAAAGTTCAATGGCGTCCAAACCCTGAAGATGAGTTGCAGACCTATAGTCCCTTCCTTCAATCGCTACCAGTCAAGCTACATGCGCACCTTTCGGATCTCGAAGCCCCGCCTATAGCCAAAGGTTGCTCTGCCTAGGGGTGGATTTGGGCCGGGCCGGCGGTTTAGAATTGGTGGACCTGGGACCGGCCCGGGTAGCCACCGGGTCCGGTCCGGGCCAGGCTGGGCCTCCGTTTTTTTTCTTCTCTAACCCCCCACCCCCCAAACCCCTCCTAACCATCAAGCCCAACCCGGGTGGAACCCCAAAAAATGAAAAAAAATCAATTTGGCCCGGACCCGGGCCCGACCCGACCGGTTCGCCAAATGTAAGACCCGATCCCGGACCCGCCCCCGGGCCTTGACCCGATCCGGACCTGGACCCGAGAATCGGGCCGGTCCCGGTCCCGCACAGTAGCGGGCCGGGCCGGTCCACGGGCCGGGTGGCCCGACCCGAATCCACCCATAGCTCTGCCCCGTCCTTCCTCTCGTCAGAGATTGCTCTGCCACGACGGAGCTCTGTTTGCGCCAGATCTGTTTGTACAACAGATGACTTCCCAAATTCTTTGGTGAGGAAAAAGAAAAACAATCGAAGGTACTTGGGTTCTATTTGAAGTGCAGCTTTTCGGTTCTGGGATGTCCACAACAACTCTCCCAAATCTCACGTAAATGCATGAGATTTGATAATGGGATTTCATAGTGTATTTTTCTAGTAAAGTCTTACCAAATCCTAATCCAAAAGAGAATCCAAACTTTTGTTGATGTTTTAAATACACCATGACATTTTGAGACTCTCTGTATGTCTCTAAATGTCTCGATTGAATACTCAAGATTTAGACAATCTTAAAATGTCTTTAAAAGTCTCAAATGAATACACACACCCCCTAAGTTTAAAAACTTATAAAGTTGTGATTATTATCACACTTTTACCTTTCTGCCATTTCAGCCCAATTTAGGGGTGGCCCACTTCCGGTCTGACCGGCCCGAGAATCGGACCGGCCCGCCATTGTGTGGGACCGAACTGGCCCGGTTAATCGGGACCGGTTCCGGGCCTAGGACCGGCCTGGGGGATTGTTAGGGGCGGTTCCGGGCCGCACCTCCTTTGGTACCGGGGGGCGGTTCCGGGCCGCACCTCCTTTGGTACCGGCCGGGGCGGGCCCAATTTTTGTTTCCAATTTTTTTTGGTGGTAGGCTGGTTGGGCTGGGTGTTTGGGGGGGGGGGGGGGTGTTTGCGGGGGGGTTGGAATTAATTAGAAAAGCTAAATAAATAAATAAAAATATATAACCCGACCCGAGTCCGGTCCGGTCCCGGTGGAATCCCGAGCCGGTTCCGGGCTTTAACCCACAAACAAAAAGCCCGGTTTGGACCGGCCCGGAGCCCGGCCCAGCACAGAACCGGTCCATGCCTAGCCCAATTGTCTCATTGATTATAGACCCGACCCAGTGACCTAATGCTCGCGCCATGTGCGGATCTAGGGTGGGCCAATCTAAGTCCTGGTCCATCTCAAGTTTTTAAAAATACCTTAACTTTTAGGGTAAAATTCCGTGTAATCCAAAATATATTCTTTGTAATGGCCTAATCCGGCCCAATGTCCTGACTACTCCCCTGGTTCGGACCAGCGATTTAATCATCAAAGACAAATTAATAGTGACAGTTAGCCACCGCTACCAAAGTAACGATGACCTGTTGCCCCAGCTAGTGACACCGCCCCCGAGTAACAATGACCCGCAGCCCCAACCAGTGACACAATCACCATCACAAAAGAAATTGAGTAATAGGAGGGGAAAGAGAAATGATGACAAACATGGGACATATGCACGCGACGAAGATGGACGATAAAAAGAATAGTTTGCAAAAAAGAAGAAGATGAAGGTCAGAGGAGTCCCAATTACGGAGGAGGTGGGGCAGCGGGCGAGATTGTGCACGGTGGAGGTGCTTTGGCGGTTAAAGTCAGTTGCAGTTGTGGCAGATCCTGCTGCCCATGGAGAGTGTTGACGAAGTTAATAGACAACTGAGATGGGAACAATGCGAACGAGAGTAGAGGTAGGATTATTCAAGGGTGTTTCAATTTATTCCTCAATTTATTACTGTAGATGATCATTTTAGTTATTTTTACATATAATTTTTTTCTTTATTTTATTAATAAAATATATTTTTAAATAATTTTTTTCTTAAATCAACATAATCATGCAATGCAGCCACTTCAGCCAGAACTTTATATATTTCAACAGAATCAGCCAAATTAGCTAATTTTTGTGTTAACAAACGGGCCCCAAAGATGAAGGATATAGGATGTTTTTATTTGGACTGTAATTTTTTGGTCTGGTCTGGTCTGGTTTGATCTGGTCTGATCTGGTCTGAACTGGTCTAGTCTGGTCTGGTAAGGTCTGATTTCTTTGTATTTTTATAACTATCCAAGTCTAGTCTAGTCTGGTCTGGTCTGAACTGGTCTGGTCTGGTCTGGACTGGTCTGGTCTGGTCTGAGACAAATTACAGTCCAAGTAAAAACATCCATAGTGATGAGTGAATAGTACCTACGTGACTACGTCTTAGAAATGCTACAGCGTATTGGGCCACGCGTTAAGCAACTAAAGAGCATATGTCATAAACTAAAGCCCAAATATAATCCCCGGCCCATGCATGTTCCAATCGTAACTGTTGATTTTAGGTCTTCATTTCTGCCTCTACTATATAATAATTCTTCGTCGTCACCTCCATTTTGCATTGCGATTCTCCCTCGCTTACCTTATTAGCTTACCTTCAGCCCGAAAACCTAGGTTAAAGTGACGGTCACGCGCCGTCCGCCTTGGCAGGATCCTTTGATCGTCTGTCTTGGCCCTACAATAGGAGTTGAAGGTTTTAGGAGTATTTTACAGTTATATCAACTAATTTAGCTGTGCTAGCTCTGTAACTGTACCAATGGCACCAAAGGCGTCCAAGGCCGAGAAGAAGATCTCTTATGACGAGAAGCTCTGCCAATTTCTGGATGAGTACACCCAGATATTGATTGCTGTGGCTGATAACGTCGGAAGCAATCAGCTCCAGAACATTAGGAAGGGTCTTAGGGGCGATTCGGTTGTGTTGATGGGTAAGAACACTATGATCAAGCGGAGTATTCGAGTTCACGCTGAGAAAACGGGAAACACTGCAATCCTCAACCTCATCCCTATGTTGGTTGTAAGTGCTCGTATAGTACTGTTAATTAATTTGGTTTATTTTGCATGCATTAGTTGATTGAATCTGAGAGTTGGAGTTGTTAGTAGTTTGAATGTCATACATTCTTAGATTTTAATGTTTCAATTTGTAATCTTTGAAAAAATATTAACCTTTGAAGTGTTTTCAGTTCCATATATTTTACCACGTAATTTATTTTCTATTTTCTTTTCTTCCATGTATTTTTAATGTAAACTAATGAGTGATACAAATATTAAAGTTACAGCAGGTCTATAAAACCATGAAGTTAAAGGTATTTTAACAGAAAAGGGATGAAGTACATTAAAGGGATTAAGTGTGGTTCATTGTTCATGGCTATGAACTTAAGATCAACCCATAAAATGTCTTTACTAACAGGGTTTATATTTATATTTTTTTTACTGGAGGGGAATGTGTGACTAGTTTAAATCTCTGTCTTTTCTCTCTTTTTCAGGGAAATGTTGGACTGATCTTCACCAAGGGTGATTTGAAAGAAGTGAGTGAGGAGGTTTCCAAATACAAGGTCAGTTTATAACACCCTTCTTCTTTTTTAGCATTTGGTTGATTTGAATTTTATTGTATTAGTTAGTTTTCTGGATGTAAATACACTTTTTTGGTCGTACACAACACTTAACAAATAAGCCTTGTTCACAGGAGTGAGTTACCCGTGTTAGATACCTAGATTGACCTGTTAGTTTCGAGGTGAGCCTAGCTTTTATTATAAAAACATAGTGTTATCTGGGAAAACCTCCAAAAATTTACCATAACCTAGTTTTTGAACAACCTCTGAATGATATCTTTTGGGTTAATTTTAATATATTTTTCAACCATAAACATCATCTCAACAAACTTTTATTGAATTCACATAACACTATTATATATACCCCTAGGTTCATCTAGTTTTGCATAAGCTCACTGAGTTTATTTGACTTTGTTCTATACAAAATGAATGTAAAGAAATTGTTAGAACAAATAGCAGCTAAGCAGGCAGCTACTCAGGCACTTAGCTACCTAGTTCACTTCTCTGCACATATGATGAATTTACCATTTATTTAAAATAATACAAAAACACTTCATTTAAAGTTTAAACACGTGGATCACATGCATGTTTTTGAAACCATAGATAACAGATTATCAACTTTCCCATCCCTCCTTCTTGAGTACATATACTTTGTTAGGTTATTAGGATTTCAGGTGTTGTAATTGCAAGGGTGACATTTCTTTTATTAAATTATTTTACATATAAGTGGTTGTAGTTAATGTGAAGATGGAAACCTATTTAGAAATCAATGATTTAAATTAATCCATCATTTTTAGTGTTAAACTAACAAATATAGATACATTGGAGAAATTGAAAATAAGTTCAGCCCTATGCACACTTTCACAATCCCTCAACCAGACAAGCCCATGTGTTATATATAAACAGTTTTGTTTTAATTGGTACTAGCAAGGAAGTTTAAAGCAGCCTAACGTCTTTTATATCACATTTGTTATATGATTATATATATTTCCTGCGTAGTGATTCATTTGTAATTTTTAAAAATTTGGATAGGTTGGTGCTCCTGCTCGTGTTGGGTTGGTTGCCCCAATTGATGTTGTGGTCCCTCCAGGAAACACTGGTCTTGACCCATCCCAGACCTCTTTCTTCCAAGTGCTTAATATCCCAACAAAGATTAACAAGGGTACCGTTGAAATCATGACCCCTGTTGACCTCATCAAGAAGGGGGAAAAAGTAGGATCTTCTGAGGCTGCCCTTCTGGCAAAGCTTGGAATTAGGCCGTTTTCATATGGCCTTGTTGTGAATTCCGTGTATGAAAATGGTTCTGTCTTTAACCCGGAGGTCCTTGATTTGACTGAAGATGATCTGATCGAAAAGTTTGCTTTGGGTGTTTCTATGGTCACATCGCTTTCACTGGCTATCTCTTACCCAACATTGGCGGCTGCTCCTCACATTCTCATCAATGGATACAAGAATATCCTTTCTGTTGCTGTTGAGACTGACTATTCTTTCCCAATGGCTGATAAAGTGAAGGAGTATCTTAAGGTTTGTATACCAATCTCTCTCCAGTGTCATGCTGGTTTTGTGTGACATTTTTTATTTTTATAGGATCTCTTTTTAGTCTCTTCTGGGCTTCCAATACTTATTTTTTGACTTTATGCTTTATTCGTAGCAAAAAGTTCAAGGAGCCATATGTTCATCTGTTGTCTCTCCATAACCACTCATTTTTAAATTTTACTGTGGTGAAATCTCACTAAAAAATGAATGGCTAGAATGAGGCCACATATGCTATGACTCCATTATGGGGTCAGATACGTCTCCATAATGTTTTCCTTCACAGTATAACTCAATCTCTCACCGTATCAATGCTAATCTATTCTGGTTGAAATCTGAAGTTAAAACATGTTTATGAAACCACAAAACAGCGCCTCAAGGTCCTGCAATTTAGTTTTGTCTGTAGTTGATTCATTGCTAATGTACTTTGTCAATTGCCAATTTCAGGACCCTTCCAAGTTTGCTGTTGCTACTGCTTCTGTTTCCACAACCGCTGCTGGTTCCACTCCTGCAGCTTCTGCTGAAGAGAAGAAAGAAGAGCCTGAGGAAGAGTCCGATGAGGACATGGGCCTCGATCTCTTTGGTTAAAATTTGATGCCTTGGGTTCATCATGGCTAGGCTTGAATTAGTTTATTGTTTTGGTTATGCCGGAATTGTTATAATGTTTTGCTCAAGTTTTGTTTTGTTTTTAAATTTTATTTAGAATTCAGCAACAAGATTTTCTCATCAATTTAATTCATTTCCTTGTTTGGTATCCTTGCTTGGTTGCACATGCGACTTGTTTGTTGCGCCTTTTATTGAGTCGATGTCACCTTTTGGTTTAGGAAAAATTCACACTAATAATCCCACCTATTGATGGTCTTCTATTATTAATCCTTCCTGATTATTCTAAAATAATATGAACTAAGGGGTTAATCTTCCTCCTTTACTCCGTTATTCCGTTAACCTAAAGTTCGGGTCTTAACCGGTAATTCATAGTCATGTGACCGCATGTGGTAATTAATCTCCCCCTTTTACAAATGTGAAGCTGTTGTGAAGATAATGCAGAGGACATCTGAAATGCGAGGATGAAGGAGGACAATGAGACTTAGCCGGACTTAGTCTTGGACCCGGTTTGGGCTGCCCGGCCCGTTAATGTGCGGGCCCGGAACTGGCCCAGTTCTCGGGTCCGGGTCCGGTTCGGTGCCTGAACTGGTGGGGGGGGGTGCGGGCTCGGGGTTGGTTTTTGGCGACCCGGCCGGGTCGGGCCCGGGCTTAACGGCCAGAATTTTAATTTTTTTTCATTTCTTTTGTAAATGGCTTTTTTGGCTGTTGACCCACTTCCCAAATGGCTATATAGCCGTTGGGTGGGTACTAGGGGGGTCCGGGGCTTTTAGGGGGTGGGGGGTTAAAAAAAACCTATAAATACTCCTAATTTTAAACACTTTTTTACACCTCTTCTTCAACTCTTCCTAAATCCTACTCTCTACTCATCTTCATATTCATCTTATCAAATTCTCTTATTCTCCATTATATTTTATTTTACTATTTAATACTTATACAATTATTATATCTACTTATATATTAATTATCTACTTATAAATACATATACTATATTACTTATATTTCTTATCTTATTATCATACATTCCTACTTATACATCTACCATTTTAAAGATGGAAATTAATTCTTCCCTTCTGTAAAACAATTTTGATAAGTGGAAGGACCCGAAGACCGGACTGTGGTAGACAACTTGCAAGTGGTGCAAGAAAGAGTGTTGCTTGGGGCATTCACGCGGATACGGGATGTCAATAAAACATATAAAGTCCTGTGACAAAGGTAAAACAACAACCAACGGTGGCGGAAACCCCAATTGATATTTAATAGAAAATGTATTTCATATTGTTATTTTTTTTCTCAATTCTCAAATGTAGTTCCTATTTCAAATAAATGAACTTGAACTTTGTTTTTAATAAGAATTTGTATAATCTATACTTAAAAAAAAATATGACCCGGCCCGGCCCGACGGGTGGCCCGACCCGTGACCCGGGTGGGTGACCCGGCTCGAACCGGCACAGGCCATAGCCCGGGCCGGTCTCGGGCCTACCTCTACCTGGCCCGCGGCCCGACCGGGCCCGACCCGGCCCAGACTGAATTGGAGGTGAACTGAATTTCACGGTCTGACTTAGCCGGACTGAATTTCACGGTCTGAGAAGGGAAACTCAGAGGCCAAACTGAATCGGAGGTGAGTCGTCTTCTTCGGCATTTGTAATGATGTCTGTCAGTGGGTCATCTTCTTCAAACTCAATTGGAGGTAATTGTCATCACACCAATAATAAGGGGCTTATTCATCTCTGCCTCTCTGGTTATTCTTCCCCGTCTTGATGACAATTCAAGTTTATAAATTTACCATATTTGACTATATGTGATCTTCCATTGATAAAGCACAAATGACGAGAAAATCAGGGGCAGTAGTTGACTGGTTTACCTTCAACCAGTCCTTAGTGTTCTTAGGCAGATTGGGCAGGTTCCATTTATGAATTGGAGTAGGAAGCTATCAGAAGAGTAAAACCCGGTAATTCAATGCACATAATAATACACAAGGTAATATACATATATAGGCTAAACGGGCTAATAAATGTTGATCGTCTTACGTGTCCGAAGGAGAAGACATGGGAGGGGATGGGGCTGAGCTGCGAAGCCCAGGAGGGAGGCTGGGCTTCAAAATGATGAGCCAAACTTCTGGGAGCTTGCGTACAAAGGAGCTCGGTCTGTTTAAGGAGCTGCTACAGTTGTTAGTTAAACGAATTTAAAATAATTACTGGCATACCCGGTTGCCAGTACCTTTAGACTAAAGGGGAAGATTAACCCCTTAGTTTGTATTATTTCAGAATAATAAGTAGGAGGGATTAATAATAGAAACCATCAATAAGTGAGATTATTAGTGTGAGTTTTTCCTTTATATTGGAATCAATGTTAAATTTTTGAACACGAAGGGAGATCGAGACAACAACGGAAAGTGGGAAGCTAACGATCTAATTATTTTCCGTAAGTTGAACCCAATTTGTACTAGTCGAGTGTGGGGGCTGTCGAGTACGAATTGATACGAATTCTTCCAATTTAGTGAAAAGTTAATATCCGTAAGTTGACAGCTTCAGTGTTGATAGTCCGAAACTCCGAATGTTGGAGTACCAGGGATAAAATGTGAAAAATAGGATGACTTATGTGACTAATGTGAGTATGAAGTAAGTTGATCTACTAATACTAATCTGGTAGTTGAATATGTGTTTAAGCAAGAAATTGATAATCTAATCAAACAATAAAAATAGAGATTTGGGGGTTTTGTGCAAGAAGATACTCAAAGAATCACGAATCACGATTACAAATATTATAGAAGTATTGAATTATGAGCAGGGACGGATCTGGCTATGGTCCAGGTAGGGCCTAGGTCCAACCTCAAAAAAATAAATAAATTTACTAGTATATATATGTATTATACTATATGTAGTGTTGTTAAATAAGGTATAATAACAATGAAAGTCAAGATAAACTTAAATTCCTTATTAGCAAGATGGAAGTATACTACCATGTTGGCTTGCATGTCCTTAGTTAAAATCCCAAGTATAGCTTTTCTTTTTAACTTTTCAATATAATGGTAGAGCATAGTGTATAAACATGTTTTTTTTTTACTTCTAAAAACTCTTTGTCTCACAGTGGAGGAATAAAATGATTCTTCCTTCAAACATATATATTTAAACTTGGTCTCCTAAGTTTATTACTCCGTAGTTAATATACAAGCTTAACACCAATCTCGAACGGTGAATGAGCTAAATATTAATATCGTGAACGCTATTGGGCTTTTGAATATTAGTCTGAAATATTAATTTGTTCAATTCATTGGGCTTGGTAGGTGAAAATTAGTTTAATATGTATGCATTTGAGGTGTTTTTGTATGTATTCGACAAAAAGTCTTATTCCTGTTATACTTATTTTTTTCTTTGACATTTATGTTGCAAAAGATTTTATTTTATACATAGTATTTGAAAATAAATTTTGTTAAATAACATACTAGTACTATTTTACTACGTTTTGACATTTTTTTGCAATATACGTTGTTTTATCAAATTTTGGCCCCACCTGATTGAAAATGCTGGATCCGCCCCTGATTATGAGCACAAAGGAGGTGAGAGCTCTCCCCTCCAATCTTACAAGATGTCCTGATTTATACCTTCGTGGGTTCAACTATATGGAAAGAATTACTTAATAAAGGAATAAAGATCTACACCATTAACATTAAGGATCAAGATGTGTTGCATATGGATGTACCTATCCAAGCCTCATTCATGTTCAAGAAAATTCTGAAAGTGAGGGAAAAGGTGCAGCTGTTTGGTGATTGGCAGAAGCAATTGGAGGAACCGGTTTTTAGGAGGAAAGATATGTATGCCCTGCTCAGAACCCCAAGTGTAAAAGTTGATTGGAAGGAAATGGTAATGCAGAATAAGGCTTCGCCTCGTGCTAGGTTTATATTGTGGCTAATCTTATGGGGTAGAATTGCTACTAAAGAAAGGCTTTTGCATTTTCATATTTTAGTTCCTGATACTGCTTGTATCTTTTATGGAGTTCTATTAGAGACAGTGGACCATGTGGTGTTTGAATGTCCAGAAATTCAGAAGCTGTGGGCAGGTTTGTATAGATGGTTGGGTAGAAGATTTAATATCAGTAGTTGGGATCAATTTCTCCCTATATTATGCAAGGATGTGAAGGGGAAAAAGCTGCCAAATAGATTTTTGAAAGCCCTGGCTACGGAATTACTCTATTCTATATGGCAAGAACGGAATCGGAGAGTTTTTACTGGTACACATTTGGAGTTACATGTTATCCTTCAACAGGTAATACAAATGGTTATTGGTAGATGTGCTAAGGATGTAGAGATTGCTAGTTTCTTTAATGGCTTTTCTTATTATCCTATGATTTAGTCTAGTAATAGCTTTTGGTGTTTTGGATTGTTTTCCCCTGATGTTTTTGGGGTTACTGGGCTTGCCCTTTTGATTTTGTTAAGTGAGCAGATTGTACTGATTGATAATTGGAAGGAATAAAATAAGCTTCTTTCGTCCAAAAAAAAAAAATCTACACCATTAATTTATTACAACTATATACTCATTCTCCTTATACGTGGCTTGGTTCTAGAAGTATGTATTTCGCCTCTTTTTCCTCCTTAATTATTTGTACTTCGTTTGAACTGGGCTTGGACGTTAATCAATGCGTGGGCTCTGACCTGGAAACCGTGGGCCACTTTGGTTGTGAAACAATCCGGGCCCAACAATTGGCCGCTTTCAGGAAGTTGAGGCGTACAAGTGCATATGTCAACCGTTAAGCATTAACTTTTCGAAATCTTGAAAACACATATATTTGTCATCCTGGATCATTGCTCTTATAGACTCATCATCAGTTTGATATGACACATCGTCAACCCGTCGCTCGTATGACAGGACACTTCCGTCAACTCGTCACGCGTCTGGCGAGACGCTTTCGTCAACCTGTCAATCTTCAAATAAGACGCTTCCGTCAACTTGCCACTTTCCTTTCAAGTAGTTTTTGATGGAAACCGTCTTTTTGGCTAAAACAACGAAGACTGAAAGATGACATTTTATCTGCTTCTATCCAAAATTGCATTGATGACTAGATGACACAAATTTGCAATATCTTTTATATTGATGTCGACACCTCAGCTGGAAAATGGAACATTACCTGTCGTGGAAGATGACAAGTTGGGTTGAGTGAACTTGGTTGATATCCTGCAAAAACTGTAAATATCGCTACATTTGTCATTTGTATTATCTCCTTATGTTGGAGCATGTGCTTCTGTTATGTAGTTCTGTATTTTTTGTTGTAGGTGTGTTGTCATATATGTTTTAGTTGCACGCGTGTCGTCATATACGTGTGTAGGTTTTGGCCAAAACGTATTTTATGGGCTCTGTTAGGACTGTGATCTATGATATTCTCATGGGCAGCCTAACCCATCCCATTTTGATGTTTGAGTAAAATGCTTGGCTGATGTGAGCCAGATTGACGTCTTGTAACCTCTGTAGGTCGCTTCGATAGTAGTCTGAACCTGTACGTCAAGATTGCACTGCATTCGTTACAAACCGTCAAAGTTGGCCATTGGATTTGGGCCAACGGCCCTCCGATGATTAAGTCAGTGATGGTTATAGATAAATGAAAATGATAGATTAAGAATATGTATACCAACCTAGATAAGCTATCATCATAACAAGTCTACCGTAAGACAATATGCCCCCCGTCTGACGAGCTCAATCATTTCGTCACTGAAGTGACTCGTCACGAAAGTGATTCGTCACGGAAGTGACTCGTCATGAAAGTGATTCGTCACAGAATTGACTCGTCACGGAAGTGATTCGTCGGTGAATTGATGACAATATGTAACAGAAAGTAACAAACTAAAAATGAAACAACTTTAAGGGTACCGTATTGCAGCTCTTTAGAACCTATTTACCATCAGACGACATGCCCCCTGCCTGAGATTTCAACCATCTTGTCAAGTCTATCTCGTCATGGTGTTACGAATCACTCCTCAGGTCTTGAATAAGGTTTTCCAGACTTGTAATCATGCCTCATAGGAGATTCTGATTTCCCATGCCTCCTGTCATACTCAAATCGTCTGTGGCGGGATCGTAAGTCTTCTTTTAGACGGATGAAAGTCAACGCCTTTGACTGGACATCTTCAAAAGATCGTCAAGGGTATTTCGTCAGCTCTCGGTACAACTCTGAATCTTCATACAATCCTTTTCTGAATGCTTCAATGACGGTTGAGACATCACACTTTGGGATTGACACCTTCCTTACGTTGAATCTGTGCAAATAATCTCTAAGTGATTCACCCTGCCTTTGCGTAACTTGATACAAGTCACTGGCCCGACTTTCCAATACCTTACTACCCGCGAACTGTTGACTGAAAAGATTGACGAGTTCGGCGAATGAACCGACGCTTCCATTCGGAAGATTGACGAACCACGTCAAAGCGGGACCGGTCAATATCATGCCGAATCCCCGACACATACATGCCTCTCTCTGTTCAGGTTTAACGGAGGCGGTCAACATCATTTGTTTGTATCACGCGATATGTTCTCCAGGATCCGTGGTTCCGTCAAATGGCTCCATGGTTGGTACGTCAAATTTATGTGGTAGTTCGACATGGACGATCGAACCGTCAAAATGTGAATCTTCATAACACGTTCGTGACGCTGTGTCCACAGGCGGGGTACCCCTGGCAATCCGTTGATCTTGTCTTGCATTTGACGCAACTGTTCCATCATCATAGACATCTGGTCTGCCAAGTCTGGATGAATTGGTGCTGGAATCGAGACCATTGGTCTGGTCATCTGTGTGACTTCAGGTCGGGTCAGTGACAGGATGAAGATTATCTTAGGGCGTCATTCCGGAAATATAGTTGCTGATGACGTGACGGGTTTGCGAGAATGTTGCGTCTGACGCTCCAGAAATGATACGTCAGGCTCGTTACGTCTGGCATCTTGCACGAGGCTAGACGGACCAGGATCTCCACAAGTCCTGCTTCTATAATGAGGAATTGACGGCTCTGTCAAGGTAGAGGCCATACCCGTCGAAGGCATACTCTGAGTCGCCGAATATAGGCCCGTTCCTCTCGATCTGACTCGAAGGGACTCCGGGAAATAACAAGCCGAAACGTTGGGGACCGTCGTGGTCTCAGGGAAGAGAGGAGTGTAAGGAATAACCTGTGAAATGACTGTTGAATATGGCTCTGTGGTTGGTGTCGGGCCTAGTGTTAGGAAAACTAGATTCGTTGATGTTGCAGGTGAACCCGTCAAAATTGCAGGTGGATCCGTCGCCGCCGGGCTGATGCCAAGATCCAGTCTTGTGGCGGCAGTCCTGGTGCCGCTCCTCCAATTAATTATTGAGTTTGAAACTATTGATACCACTGAGTATACCTGTGAATGAAGAACGTCGTTCTCCCGTTGAAGGTGGGCCATCCGCTCCGCCACCTCACGCCAGATTTCTTCCTTCATTGTCTCTAGCTGCTCGTGAAATTCACTCACCAAGGGATCAGCTCCATCCATGATTGATATTTCTCTTGCACAATGCCTTACGGTGGGCGCCAAATTTTTTAAGCAAGAAATTGATAATCTAATCAAACAATAAAAATAGAGATTTGGGGGTTTCGTACAAGAAGATACTCAAAGAATGAAGAATCACGATTACAAATATTATGGAAGTATTGAATTATGAGCACAAAGGAGGTGAGAGCTCTCCCCTCCAATCTTACAAGATGTCCTCCTGATTTGTACCTTCGTGGGTTCAACTATATGGAAAGAATTACTTAATAAAGGAATAAAGATCTACACCATTAATTTATTACAACTATATACTCATTCTCCTTTATACGTGGCCTGGTCAACGTATATGATGCATGCTACTTTCCATATGTGCATGGTTCTAGAAGTATGTAATTCGCCTCTTTTTCCTCCTTAATTATTTGTACCTCGTTTGAATTGGGCTTGGACGTTAATCCATGCGTGGGCTCTGACCTGGCAACCGTGGGCCACTTTGGTTGTGAAACAATCCGGGCCCAACAATATGATGCCCAGTTGATAGTAGGGGTAGGCATTCACTCTTCTTTTGCTTTTGGTTGAACACATTTTATAGAAATAATGACAAAATAAGACTACTAAGTTTTGATCGGAAAAAATAGGTCTTGATTCTAATTAGGACGAAAATACGACATAATGCTTCACCCTATTCACGCCCCCTTCCTTCTCAGCTCTCACACTCTCTGCTTTCGAAAGGCCGACAACAAATAGAAGCCAAGAGTTTAGTAAGCTGGTACCATAATGACCGATTATGGAACGAGGTTGAACGTGCAATCTTTTGAGATGCTCATTTGCTTCTAAGATTGGTTGAAGGCCTACTAGAATGTAAGAAGTTAACATAGCACCATATCATCATGAAACAAGAACCGATACTAGTGGGAGTTCCGACGATTCGGGAATGTATTTAAATAAATTTACTTTGCTTATAATTTGTTAAACATTTGTTAATGTCTAATACTCCAAGTCAATTTAGTGTTTTAATTATATCTACATTTCATTTTTAATGGGTGTATCATCTGTTATATATATTACTAAATTTAAAAAAGATCAAAACCGTTCGAACTGGCTCGAGACTAGGCCTGGGACCGGGCGGGTTTGGGACAGGATTGAGATCCGTCAAATCCGGGATAGTTCCAGGCTTCACCATTCACGATGAGGTAGCCGTGGGAAGGGGCGGGCAATTGGATAGAAAACAGAAGTAGAAGAATATAACAAAAGTTATATTTATTATAAATTGTATTAATATATCCCTAATTATGAGTATTCCCCCCTCATTTTATAACAAAAAGTTGTTTTTGATCGTCAACTCCAACAAATATATTAGATCAACATAACGTTCGTCATATGACTGATAATACAATAAAAAAAAGACGTAAACAAAGCGATAAAAAGCCTTATGTCTGCCATTCGCCCTCGAACCAAACTTAGTATCTATCATCTCTGTAGAAGCAATAATATTCGCTGATCCCGTAATGGGCTTAACAGAGCCAATGACTCGCAAACCAGACTTCTCATCACCTGACTTAAATTCTAGAATCTCTCTGCTAGGAAATAAGAACACGTCCAAAACAACATGCAATTCGAAAGAAAAACACAAACATAATAAAACGACATTAAAACAAAGTTCACTCATCTTCTTCCAAACCATAGACTTGCTTGCACTCCATAGCGGCGGCTCGGGAGTGGGAAGCGCCTGCCGCTCATCCACATCAATAGTCATGCTTTTGTATCGAAACCAAACTCCGCCACAGCTTATCCACCTTTTCTTTGTCAACACTTGACATTCGACTAGAAACTACAGCAGAAGTCCAGCCATGGCTGCCAAAGCGCTGCATCCCTGGTCTCGAGCCTGCCAAAGGCCACTCTTCGTCGATGACGAAAGCTGAAGAAACGAAACCCTAACTCGTAGGAAGATGACCGCTAGAGAGAGAGGCTCTCCTCGACAATGGTCGTTAGCGGACAAATCGAAGCTAGCGATTAACTTATGACAACCCTAGAGAGAGACGGTCACCGGACTTTTTTATAACAAAAAGTTATACTACGTATTAGTTACAATTCTATCAATTTTAACAATTTCAGTTACTTAAGCCAAATTCATTTCCATCAAATGGGCTCTTGTTTAAAGTGAGGGAGGTCCTATAGTTTTTGGGCTGAGGTCAATAGTAATGTGTGTTTGCTGAGTTGTGACCTTAAATTACTGGCCCATAGATTTTTCGGACCCGTAAGTTGTAACGTCTGCCATGTTTTGATCTGTTGTTGTATATTCGTATCAGCTTTACAGGCAGATCCCGCACATCACTGTGGTCAGAACGATTTCCGGACAACAACCCTACGAAAATGTCGGAAAAGAATGGAGATTCCAACAAGAAGGCTGCTAAAAAAGCAAACCTTCTCGATCACGGATCCATCAAGCACATCCTCGACGAGTCAGTATCTGAGGTTCGATTACACTGACTTTTCACATCTGATTTGATTCGAATTATCCATCCTTCTGCGAGTGAATGTATGTAGAAATTGAAGTCAATTAGAGTTGAATTTGACTCTGGATTGTTTTTTATTTTGCTTTTACGTGTCCTAGATCGTTACCAGCAAGGGCTACACGGAAGATGTGAGGCTGAGCAACGTTAGATTGTTGCTAGGAGTCTTCATCATCATAATTGCTCTCTTCGCTCAGTTCTACAACAAGAAATTCCCAGATAACCGGAATTTTCTCATTGGCTGCATAATATTATATCCTTTTCTATCATTTTTCTATGCTCACTTCCATTTCTGAGCTGGGGGTATCTTTTTATCAATAAGAAAGAGTTTAATTCAGATGCCTTTGTATTCACCCTCTATTCAAATATAAAATTCGAAAAAAGTTAAAACCTTGTTACCCTTTTTTATGTTCATCCGTCTGCATAATGATATAATGGAAATGAAAAATAAATTACTTTGTCAGTTGGGCTGCCTCATCTGTTTAATCTTGACTCTGGCACGTATGTGATAGCGAATGCAATTTTGCAGCTGATTGTGTACACGAAGGAGAAGAATGCTATTCTATTCACTTATCCTCCAGCTGTAAGTTGCAGTACTTTTATGTGTTTATCTGCTTATACGGTGTCATGCCATGTTGAATATTTTTGTTTGCTTCTCAGTGTGTTGGTGATAAATTAGGGTTCAATAAAACTGCAGCTTGCTAGTTGTGTCTCTTAATTGCATGCTTCATATAAATATAGCCCTAGTGTTCTTACTAACGGAAGCAAATTTCTATTTTAGTTTTATATTTGATCAGTTCTTTCGATTCCATTCGATTCTGTTGCAGAAAAAAAGCTTTATTCCATAATATCTTGAGGGTATTGATTTAGCCGGGTTATAAAATTCTATTCAGAGCTCATTTAACTTTGTTAATATTTGTGCTGGTGCCTTAGTTCTGCTCAAGACTTTTCTTTGTTTAGGGAAGAAATAGAAATGTGAGAAGTGTAAGGGAGAGAATTAGGGGAGAATTGAGAAACTTCTGTTCGGTCACAAGAGAAATGGAGAAGGGATAAATGAACATGGTGGTGGTGGAGAGAAAAATGCCCCCCACAAGTTTTTCTTATTTCTTCTCTCTGTCTCTGCTATTGTGGTGGAGAAATAGGAGTGAATTTGACATCCTCTCAATTTGTACCCAGTTTTTTATTTTCTTCTCCATTTGTATTTTACAAAACTAATTTGAGTTATTCCCCCACCATTTCTCTTCCTTGTTTGTCACCCATTGCTCCCTTTTTTATTTCTTCCCTAAAACAAACAAGGGCCAAATGGTCTGAGTATGTAGAAATGTTGCTCTGTTTTCCATTTAGGAGTTTAGTAGTGTTTCATCCTGAAGTATTTCTGCCTGCACTGCCTTGACAAGTCACCAGAGTTTGCACGTGAGGCTTTGCAATAGAAGTTTTGAGTTTCGTGCTTTTCTCTTTTGGCAAGCTGCAAATGGTCAGCTATCCGTCCATTTTCTCTTCTGGAGGCTTCACCATGTGTAAATGGGGGCTGGTAAAAAAGGCACTCCTGCAGCTTGTAGTGTATGTATGAGCGTAGTCCTGGCAGGCAAGTAGAGATGTATTGCTTCGCTTGTTGTTAAACTTGACCTCAATGCTTGTTTCAGCAAAGCAAGAAAAACTCAAAAACAAAAAATTAAAAAAACACATTTATTATACATTTATTTCCAGTTTATTACAGTACTAGACATTTTTCAAACTTGCTCATTTTATAACACAATAACATATACAATTTCTAAAAAATATTCTGCTTTTATGAAGACAATTCATTTGTGGGTACTATTATATGCTGATGATGTTCATAGGGTCATATCTATGGACCACTCCATTGACCTGAGTTTCTCTCTTCAGATGAGGCTGAAAGTTGGGCTGTATTTAGGGATTTGTTTATGTAAGGATCTTTTTTGAAGGTAGAGAATCCGATAATAGAAACAATAGCTTGATGTTTGGATTGTTTGCTAGTAGACATCAACAACAATGTATGTTAGTTGTAAATGAATGAATGATGTGTTTCCGCTTATCGAAACAATGCATATTCTTGACACTGCGCAGTGAGCTTATTTGGGTTCTGCTAGTTTTAAAAACTTACCAATGCTAAATGCCTATCGTAATTATTTCAAGAAATCAAGAAGTTCTGAAAAGAAAAACTTTCAAATGTTTAATATTTCTAAGTGTTGCTCAAGAATCTATCACATGTCAATTCTTGATAGCTGGCTACCCTATGTCCCTATGAAGCTTGGTGAATTCAAATTTTTTCTGTAAAATCCCTGATAGGCCCTCTTAGGTTTCTAAGATTTCTCCGCACTCAGCTATGACCTTATATTCAATATAAATGCCTGAGTAGGCGCTACTTCACCAGGCCCCACAGTCTCCTACCAAGACATGTGTTCATATCAAGAATAGTAATTACGCCATAGCTCATTACCTACATTGTTTGTTAATATGTTCCATTTATATGGAGGCACTATGGGATGGTATTGAGATCTACAGTAGTTCATGGCTCATAGAATCTTCTTTGTTGTGAATGCTAAGAGCTTTTGATTTTTTTTTTCTTTCCAGGGATCTTTTAACAGTACTGGCTTAGTTGTGTCTTCGAAGCTGCCCAGATTCTCAGATTTGTACACACTGACAATAGCAAGTGCGGATCCTCAGTCCATCTCAGCTAAAACACCTGTGGAGATCACAAAGAGCGTTACTCACTGGTCAGTCTCTTTTCGCATCCACCTCACCTATGTATGTTGCAAATATACTTTGTTCGCAGAGATGTCATATCTAAAATATCTCAAAAGTTACGTGGTGTACTTGCTACATAATAATCCCTTATTGATGATTTCGTTATATAGTTTTGCTAATTTTATAAACTAGACAAAATTTCAAGGTTTGTCTCATCTCAGTGCATTTAAAAACGGAAATTATTGGGTACCTTTTTTGTACATGTACAGTACGTTCTGCAGCATATTTGAAGTTTGACACAACTGTCAAGCAATAACTTTCAAGAGTAACTCAAATAATAGGTATACACTGAGTAAACATTAAGTTGTAAAATTGCTTTATGAGATTATTGTTGTAGATGTTCGTAAATATTTAAAAATAACTAAAAGAATAACTTGTATATTTATTCTTCCGTGCAATAAACTTAGATTTGCAAGTAAGTCATTTGAGTATTCACAAGTACACCTAGGACCAGCATAGCGCTTCTTATAAGTTATAACAATCTTCTTTATGAAAGAAGATTATACAACTTATAAGGAGTATTTATAAGTTTACAAATGAAAGAAAAACAGGAGATGATTTTCTCGTGAATCTACATGACAGGGTTTAACTTGGCATGGATTTTGCAGGTTTACAAAGGATGGAGTTCTAGTGGAGGGACTCTTTTGGAAAGACGTGGAGATGCTAATCAATGATTACGCTAAAGAAGGCAAAAAGAGCAAGTGAGAATCACTCAATGAATTTTGAAGAGTGGAACTGATAGACTCATCATAGTCAGAAGGGAGAGATAGAAAGAACATATTGGTTCTAACACACTGATGTACGTGGATTTTTATTTATAACTATTTCTTTGATTCGATGCAATCCCATCGTGGTGTTACATTGACTATTAATATCGAAGCAGATTCAGCAGAGTATGCATACTGTATACACTTGGGCTTCTTTTCATCCGTATAGCTTCTCGGACATGAAACCTATTGATGAATGACTGTATACCTTATTGTTTCGGTATTCAGGGAACCAGGAGAGAGGCTCTGGACTTCTTGTAGTCCAATTCCACTTACAGGGAATAGAACAGGCAGAAGGTTATTGGTCTTGGTTCTGCCCAATATTCTAAAAGGCACTAGTCGGAGATACATAACTTATATTTTTATAAGTAGTTTTGCATAAATATGATAAGTAATACATAATAAAACGGTAGTATCATGTTTGTGTGTATAAAAATACACTCATTAACATACACGAATGACAGAATTGTCACATGCAATGATATACTCCCTCCGGTTTTTAATAAACTTCACACTTTCCTTTTTGGGACGGTCTAAAATAAACTTCACACTTCTTTATTTCCTTTTTTGGCAAAGAAATCTACATCAAAACAGTGCCAAATAGTGTCTCTACAGTGCCAAACAGTGTCTCTACAGTGCCAAACAATGTCAAACAGTGCCTCAACAGTGTACTCTATAGTAAAGTCAAATTTCTTTTCTTATTTTGTGTGAAGATTAAATAAAACCGGAGTGAGTATGATAACTAATCACTTAACTGCATTATGTTATAAATATTAAATAATAAAAAAATTTAAGTATATATACAAACATATATAGTTTTTATCTTAGTCATGACTAAAGTTAAATCTACATGTATCTCTTACAAAAAGAAAAATAAAAATAAAAAATTGTTTAGCAAATCTAGAAGCCCTAGGTGGCGATTAGGCACTCTAGTCGGGAAACTAGGCGGCTTAGGCGGCCAATTAATTCACCTAGGCGTCGGATCAATTAGTCGGAGCACCTAGACAAAAATCGGGTTGTCCGACCATCGCCTAGTGCCTAGGTGAAGACTAGTCAGACGCTTAGAACGATTTTTAGAACAATGGTTTTGCCTCTTAGGATGAGTGATATTGATCAAATTGTGTTTCATACCTTAAATCTGGAGGTCTCACTGTCTCAGTGAGGCCGGAGTCTCTGTCATCCATTTGAAAATCTACGCTTCAACCTTACATTAGTTAACCGTCTAATTTCGATAGTGCTCCCCTCCTACCGGTTGTTTGGGCGTTGCATTTAAGAAATCATCATCATCATCATCATCATCATCATCATCATCATCATCATCATCATCATCATCATCATCATCATCATCATCATCATCATCATCATCATCATTCTCTCAGTGCGGCAAAGGCTCCCACCTACGATGGGGTCGGATGTCGCAAAGGCTAGCCGGTACCCGGCCCGGACCGCCACTGTGCGGTACCGGCCCGACCCGGCTAGCCGGGACCGGCCCTTGGGCCTGAACCGGCTAGCCGGGACCGGGCCATGGGCCCGAATCGGGGGGTTTTGGGGCGGGCTACGTGATGGGGTATGATGGACCGGCCGGTTCAGGACCGGTCTGGGCCCAAAAAGTTTTTTTCCAGAGTGGATTGGGTGCTAGGCGAGTGGGGCTGGGTGGTTTGGGGGGGGGGGTAGGAATAAATAAGAAAAACCAAAATTTTAAAAAAATATAAGACCTGACTCGGGCCCGGGCCGGTACCGGGCCTCTACTACCCAAACCCAGTCTCGTCCAAGGCCGATCCGGACCCAAGCCCCACCCGGGCCCGGTCCATCCCTAGGTGGAGTAAGGGGGGTTGGATGTATGCAGGCTTACCCCTGTACTAAAGCACAGAGAGACTGTTTTTGGATGACCCGTAATGAAAATTATATGGACTGACTGCTGCTTCATAATAAAGAAGCGCAAAAAGTTTAATGAGCCATATTTCTTTATTCCATTATAGTACAAAGCCAAAAAATAGCGAGTGTTTGGTTCCATTTGCAAATGATGGAAGAGTTGCATTTAAGAAATATTACCAGAAATGTACTATCGTATTTGATTTGAAAAAGAAGAGAGCAATAACATTTGTTTCAAACAAACTTTTATTGAAAAAGAAAATTTTGAGTACAATGGGAGAAAGAAATGAAAAACAGGAAAAACAAAAGAGATGGCGAGTACAATGAAAATTATAAGCCCAAGGATTTTTTTCCGAGTAAATTTTGAGTTGCATATTAAAGTTCTCTGTTGGCAGGCAGATGTGACGAATTGAGATAGTAATATTTAAATAATACTAGTATGTAATAGTAAGAGTACTCATTGAAAAAAGAGGGTCAGCATAATGATGTAATCATATATAGATATGTTGAAATATAATTGAATTAGTAATCTTTCAATTATTCATGATTAAGAATTATTATTATCATTATATAAATAATTAGGAAATCATAATTATGATTTCAAGGTGATAAATGTGTGGCTCACAATGATCTCCTAATCTCATTGAACTCACACTTTCTCCTATAAATAGGAGTCATTCTCATTGTAAATTAACACACCATTAAAACATCTCTAATACACCTCTATCACATCATTAATAATATCTTTGTCATTAAGTGTTCATATTATACTTTTCTCCGCAATCTTCATACTTATTTCCCTCAATTTTATAACAAGTTAAACTATTTCTTTTTTATTTCGGCCTCTTATTTTGGAATACAGCTCTCCGTATGATCAATTTTTATAGCATTTGATTTGATGAGCTAATGATCAAGTCCCTATCGTTATTAAAAGTATATTATCCACTCTTAGTCTCTTAGATATCAAGCAGGGTGGACCAGTTAGGCTCTGGTTCTCTACGAGTATTATTTTTGCCGAATTCTGATCTACCTCACTGGTTTTATAACTTTTATTTCAAATACTCCCCCGTCCCGTAATTAAGTTCACAGTTTGACTTCACACAGATTAAGAAAATAAATTTGACTTTACCGTGGAGTGCACTGTTTTACACTGTTTAAACACTGTTTGACACTGTTTGGACACTGTTTGACACTTTTTTGACACTGTTTGGACACTGTTTGACACTTTTTTGATGTAGATTATTTGCCAAATAAGGAAAGTTTTGAAGTGTGAAGTTAATTTCGGGACTGCCCGAAAAGGAATGTGAGAAGTTAATTTTGGGACGGATGGAGTATTATTACTTATAAAAGTACATTTAGTGTTGTTCTAAAGGTGTCAAAAGGCAATGCCAAAGTGACCATAGTGTCACAAACTTGTTCCCTTAACAAGCTCACGTGCGACCTTAGCTCCTTTTCACCCCTCGCGATAGCTAAGTGTGGGAAACTCGTGACAATAGTCCCTAGATCCGGAGCGCAACCGGACGCCTTGGACATAAAGCGTGATAAAGTAGCGGGCTAGATTGTTCTAATTTCTAAACATATTTTCTTCTATTTTTATTAACTTCAAAAAGTTTCTACGAAAGCTGTCTACCTTGCATAGAGTTTTTGAACCAACTTAAAAAATCACTTCGTTATGACATTGCTTCGTAAGGACAGTTTCTGCTTGGAAAGGAAAATAGAATCAGTGAAAAATCTACAATGATATCTGATTACAACTCCTACTGCAGCTTTTTCTCTTGAAGATCAGTATTGTTAATTAATAGACTAATAGTGGTGCTACAAGAATGAATTGTGTGCAATTTCTGAGTTATATGGTGTAAAACTAAAAGTGACAGTGTTGACATCAATAGTTTTTTTTGTGTTGACGGCTTAGATTAATAACCAACAATAGTTCAGAGTATGGGTCAACAGACAAAAAGAAAACTGATAACCGTTATCTCTCGAACCAGACTTGGAATTAATCGCCGTAGCAATATAATTCGCTGATCCATAACCGGGAAACAAAAGCCTAAATACGGTTACCAAATTCCTCTCATCTCCCACATCCAAAATCAACATCTTACAAACAGGAACGATAAATAAAAGGCAAATAACAAGACAGACATAACAATCACCGAAAGAACAAACAAAACCAATAAAATAAATCTTCTTCAAAGCCCTAGATTTGCTTGCACTCAATGGCGGCGGCTCAGGAGGGGGTCACGCCCGTCGCTCACTCGCCACAACCTCACCATCAGACATGTCCCCGAAGCTTTCCATGCAAATTCGTTGCTTGAACCTTCTGCCAGCCCCTTGCCACATCTCAAGGCTCCTTCGATCCAGCCGCCTCGAAACAGCCGCCGTTCGTCTCATCACCATATTCAACGGGCTAGACCTTCTTTGTGATCGAAACCCGCGATCGGAGAACCGAGGAACCCGGACAACGTATTCGACAATAGACAACATCTTCCAAACAATCCAAAGAGACATCTAACAAATAAAGACTCGGAGATACGGTGGAGAGCCGTCTCCGGACAAACCCTAGGCCGCCTGGACGACTGCTCTAGAGAGAGGGAACATGACTTTTATAAACGCATTGAAAGTTTTCAAACGAAAAGTTTGTTTGTTGACATCAATAGTTATAGTGTTAGAAATATGTCCGGAACCAATGTAAATGAATTATACTCCCTCCGGTTCTAAATAAACTTCACACTTTCCTTTTAGGGACGGTCCAAAATAAACTTCACACTTCCTTATTTCCTTATTTGGCAAAGAAACCTACATCAAAACAGTGATAAACAGTGCCAAACAGTGTCTCAACAGTGTCAATCAGTGTCTCAACACTGCCAAACAGTGTCTCAACAGTGTACTCTACAGTAAAGTCAACTTTATTTTCTTAATAACTGTGAAGTCAAACACTGAAGTTTAAAAAGATCCGAAGGGAGTACGTAGTAATATGGAAGTACATATGTTTTTTTGGGAAGTAAATTTCACGTGCAGTGACGGAACTATAACTTTATTTAAGGGGTGCTGGGAAGGCGAGAAATATATTAAGAAAAATTCTTATTATACACACCAATTTACATACTACGTACGGAGTATATTTTTTGTATATGTTCTCTTCTTGCTTGTGTATACCGACAATCCGTAAAAAAAAAATCAGAATTTATAAAAAGTGTACAAAATTGCAGGTGTAGCGTGTAAAATTGGCATGCACACGCCCATAAGTATACACAAAACACGGCTTATATATGAAACCTCAAAACTAGTAAGTTGGTAAAAATAATAGAAAATAAACACATGTGGTTATCTAAAATCGCCAATATGTATTAAGAACTTTAACATGTTTAACCTAAAAAATTATAAAACAGAGTAATACAATAATTGCATAACCCAAATTTATATTTTAAGCATAGTAAATAAATATAACACATAAATTGTAGGGAATAGAATGATACCTAATTCAGAAATCATTAATACAAAATTATAAAGTTGCCAGACCTAAAAAATCAAATTCATAAAGGCACTTATTACTTATACACTGCACGGCAATACAAATTCATAAGTGATTATAAAATTATTGAATTGCATAAAATAAAAAAGTTAGAAAATAAAACTCAGAGTAAATGGAACTATGGAAGCTCTCACCTAAACACTTAAGTAAGTGAAAGTTTAAAACAAAAAACAGCTGATAAGCCTATGACACGACAGCGTCGCGAAAGAAGATGAAAACTTCCACTTGAGAGGAAAGCCGGAGAGGGGCGCCAGCGGAATTACACATACATATACCGTAGTTCTTCCCGGGAAGGGGGCACCGGCACCGGCACCGGCTCGCCCCCTCTGGTTCCGCCACGGCTCACATGTATGCATACGTGAGACACTCCCTATCAGGGCCCGTCCTGAAGCATGGGCAAGGGGACATTTGCCCAGAGTCCATTGCTCCCCAAGAGCCCATAATACACACAAATAGTATTATTTATTTAAATATACATTATATATCTATAAAAGTTTAAAAGTAATGACTTAGGGAGGGTTTATAAAAAATTAAAAGAAGTGTGTGTCAACTTTTGGCTTTAAAAATATGAAATAAGTGTTTTCAAGTGACAATTGTGTTTAAATTAAACACTTAAAATCTAAAAGCTAGAAGAAGATAGGAGAGTGCTTTAAATCGCTTTTCACCTTTTCTATTACACAAGTAATACTTATTTTACCAAACACTACCAACTTTTATACAACTTTTGTAAAAGAACTTTTTTCTCAAACAGTATCAGCTTTTACTATTATGCACTTTCTCCAAAATCACTTCTAAAAATTAAGGCTAAAAGGTCAAATAGGCCTTTGAACTGACTTAAAGCGTTCAATTAGCCCCTTATATAGGAGGTTCTGCCCGGCCGTCGCTAATTGGAGCGGTTCCCGGTGAAATTTTTTGATGAAATTTTTTGAGCATCTTCTTCATTAAGTCTAGTTTACCCATATCAAATTTCAGCTAAAACTTCAACCGGGAAGGCAGTCAAATGATTTTCCGAAATGTACTGCGCTGTTTAACTTCGCAGTTATCTTCAAAAAATCATTTGACTGCCTTCCCAGTTGAATTTTTAGCTGAAATTTGGTATGAGTAAACTAGACTTCATGAAGAAGATGCTCAAAAAATTTCATCAAAAAATTCCACCGGGAACCGCCCCAATTGGCGACGGCCGGGCAGAACCTCCTATATAAGGGGCTAATTGAACACTTTAAATCAGTTCAAGGGGCTATTTGACCATTTAGCCAAAAATTAATTTTTACTCCGTAAAATAGAAGTAATCACAAACACTCCCATAGTAAGTCATCTTTGATCCTTTTGACAATTTTGTTCACTCTTTTATAAGTGGTGGTTCGCTTGTGTATTTCTCCATGTTTTCGCCAAGGACCTTCATTTAACTCTTACCTTTTTTTAACACCAAGCAATATCTACTTTGTCACATTAATTTCGGGCTTTAATAAACTAACCTCAAACCCTGAGAAATAAATCCGAATCGTTTGAATAATGAGAGCTAGGTTTCCACGGCCGCCTATTCACTAACGCACATAAGAAACCGCTCTAAACGAATTGATTGAGTGTCCTTAGATTCCCATCAAAGTTCATAGTTCCGTAGAACTGCCACTGACTGGTCGAATATTATACCACCAGGTTTTATTAGCAAGAAACCAAGTCCCATAGTGTTGTTTGAAGGGAGATGAATCACTGATTACACAACCATTTGAGCTAGCTCCTTGACTAAAGGATCATCATTTGAGAAAAACCTTCTAAATTTACCTCTTTAATGACTTTTTGAATTCAAGACCTTCCACAAGCGGAGCATAGACCTAGGAATTGGTCCACTTGAACCATTCCCAGCCTCCCACACTCTCAAAGTAAGGACCCAACTTGGACTCATATATTCACCTCAAGCAATGTGATTTTTGACGGAAATGAGGCTTGCATCCCACGACCCACGCCCATATATAAAACTCAAATAAAATTTAGGACCCAAAGTGCGCAATAGTATATGTCTATCATAGATATAAGGAAAACATTCAAACAAGTTCTGCCATTATTTTTCCATCTTCAATTAAGTCTCATACCTAAGAAATACACAATTAGATACGTGAGCTTGTTAGAAACACTTAATTAGATTCATTGAAGTATTAGTTTATCGACAGATTTCTAGGTTAGCTTGCCACCTTCTATAAGGGTGCAAACGAAACTCATAAAGTTAAAGTTCCCACCTACCATTTTATTTTTAGTTGTTAACTAAACAATAGTTTTAATTGCGTAATGAGTAACATTTTTTCCATCATTTGCAATGGAGCCAAAGATTCACTATTTTTTTTGGATTGAGTATATGATGAAATAAAGTAAAATGACTCACTAAATTGTCTACGCTTCTTTGTTATGAAGTAGCGGTCAGTCCATGCAATTTTCGACACGATTTTCACCACGAGTCATCCAGAAATAGCCTCTCTATTCTTTAGTACAGGAGTAAGGCTACGTACATCCGATCCTTCCTTACCCCCGTAGGTGGGAGCTTTTACGGCACTGAGGTAATGATGATGACGACATAAACAATAACATTCTTAATTGTAGTCAAAGAAATCAAATATTGGATGACCACCCATTTTCCAAGCGAGATCAAAATCTATGCAATAGTTGAGGTGGATCTATACAGTAATACAGAGAGGTGATAGAGATGGGGAAATAATGAAGTTGCATGGTGACCCATATATGACCAAATTTGCATTTAACCATAAACCTTGGGACCATTTTTATTCTTCACAAAAGAAATCTTTAAATTCATTTTTCTCAACCGAAGATAAGTCTTCTCTCTCTCAAGCTTTTCCCTAATTAGAGTGGGAACATACTTTTGGGTTTTGAGAGTACTAAAGACTACCTACTTGTCTTTTGGTCCGTCCTTCAATTAGAATGGGTTAGCGTTTTTACACAGCAGTGTCACAGTACATTTTTTGTGCTGGTTCTGAGTGAGCTCCTCATAGAGTCATAGATACACCTTTTCTAAAAACTAACAAAACCCGCCGTGACCATGCGAAAGTTACAACTCTTTGTGGTAGAAAGTCTATTATCGATAGATAGATTGAGTCATTGTGATTTACAACTTCTATATACCTTTTCGAGTTGGAGCGTGGGGCCTTCGGGTTGAGGATCTAACCTTTTGGTGGAACACAAATACTACAAAATAGTTACAGTGGTAAAATAAGCTGTTATCTCATAAACATTCCTCCTATCCTTTACGGAGTATAATTTTGTCATATTTCGTGTTTTGATTATCTAAAAAATTTTGACCAATTATTTTTATGATTTCACTTATTTCTCTTTCATGTTCATAACTTGTAAGTATAAAGTAAGATTAGAGTTGTTTTTCTGGCTGTATTGGCTGAAGAAACTCTAGATGATTATCTAAACTCTAGATGACCATTTTAGCTAAACTCTAGATGACTATTTTAGCTATTTTTAGATATAATTTTTCTTTATTTTATTAATAAAATATATTTGTAAAATAATTTTTTCTTAAATCAACAGAATCAGCCAATGCAACCACTTCAGCCATGACTTCATAAATTTCAGAAAAATCAGCCAAAGCAATCGATTTTGATGGACTCAAAATTTTTAAGAACTACTCGTTTCAATTTTCAACATGCTAATGATTACCTGCATTATTGCGTGGGAGAATATGAAGGGTGAAAAAACTTAGCTTTCACGGTAATAATAACTTAATAAGTATGTCTAACAAAGACAGTAATTCAGTAAACTTCAAATTAAAGAATAACTAAAAAGGCTAAAAGGCGGCGGAGCCAATAGTAAATCAGTGAAAAATGAAAATTTTACTCCGACTGTGAAAATTTTCCAAAACGTAAGAAATCCCGGATCGCCACGTGTCCCTCATCCAAGATCTCTCATTTTTAGCTCTCAAAACTTCCAACTTCATCCGTATAGCGGTATAGCCAATAGTTTGTCTGCTGTTTCACTCTTCTTCGCCGCCGCAGGCGACACTCTTCAATCTTCACCCTTTCTACGACCGATCTCTCTCCTGAATCAAAACTTTCTTTTTGGTGACCCTGAAAATCTGTACTTTTGTTTCTTGATTTCCCTTCATTTCCCTGTTCTGTTTTCTGAACATGGAGGACAGTGAGGGCAAAAGAATGACAGCCGTCTACGACGCTGTGTGGGATCGAGTGATACCTTACATTCACGACTCGAGAGACCGCGGGTCGGTGTCCCTTGTGTGCAAGAGGTGGTACGAGATCGACGCCATAACGCGCAAGCACGTAACCATGGCTTTCTGCTACACCGCCACGCCTAGTCGTCTATCCAGCCGTTTCCCTCACTTGGAGTCGCTCAAGCTCAAGGGAAAGCCACGCGCTGCTATGTTCAACCTTATACCGGAAGATTGGGGCGGTCACGCCGCCCCATGGGTAGAAGAAATCGCCAAGTCCTTTAAACAATTGAAGGCTCTCCACTTGCGCAGAATGATTGTCACTGATTCCGATCTAGATAGTCTGGCTCGCTCGCGCGGTTTGCTTCTTCAATCTCTCAAGCTCGACAAGTGCTCTGGGTTCTCCACAGATGGTCTCCTGAAGATTTGCCAATCCTGCAGGTAAAAGAAAGAAAGATTGAAGTTTTTGTTCCCTTCAGTGAAATTTGTTGTTCTGCAAATTTCTATAGTATGCTTGTCTAGTTTCTTGGTTCTTTAGTACCATTTCTTGTTGTGTGAAATTCTTTTAAGTCTGTTTTGGTGGGGTGGGAGTGGTTAGTTTCTTTGCCAAGGTGGGGATAATTGTCTAGGATTTTCATAAATTGCTATAATTAGCAAAGTTTACTGGATTAGGTCATTAGTGAGATTAGTGATAGTAATTGTTTTAAAAGTTTATTTCTATCATCTTTCTTGTTGAATTCTAATTATCTTTAGTACGGGTCTTTAGTTTCCTGGTTCTTTAGTGTAAGCTCTTGTTTTGTAAATGCTAAAAAGTCTTCTTGGTTTGGGTGGGATTAGTTTCTTTGTCCGAGGGTCATTATTGATCTAATTGTCTGGGCTTTCCATATATTTCTATAATTAGCAAAACTTACTGGATTTCTGATTATAATAATAATGATGTCTTAAGATGTTTTATCCTTTTAATTGCCATTATTTAAGTATGGGTCATTGGTTTCTTGGCCCTATATCAAATCTTCTTCTTTACAATTCTTTTTAGGCTGTTTGGGTGGGTTAGGGGTGGGGGTGGGGTTAGTTTCATTGCTACTAAAGGTGGATATTAAACTAATTGCCTAGGCTTGCAATAAATGAGTACAATTAGCAAAATATAATTGTTTCCAAGGTTTTTTCCCTAGTTTCATCTTCTTTGAATTCTACTGTGTGGCTTTAATTTGGCCAAATGATGTTTTCTCTTCTTTCAATTTTGGATTTTTTGTGTAACGACCATAAACTACCGCTATGAAAATTCTCTTCAAGCTCTTTGGGTGGAGTGGGGTTAGTGTCTTACTTTCTTTGCCAGATGGGTATTTGAATAGGCTTTTCATAAATTGCTATAATTCGCAGCATTTACTGGATTAGTGATTAACTCATTATAATACTGATTGTTGCATATGTTTTTTCTTTTAATTTTTTCTTCTTTGAGTTTTATTTTGTGGACTTCATCATAATAGGCCTTTAGATTTCTAGTTCTTAAATGTATGTTCTTTTTCTTCACGGGTCATCCGTAAACGGTCTCTTTGTGCTTTAGTATAGGGATAAGGCTGCGTACATCTGACCCCTCCCTACTCCATCGTAGGTGGGAGCCTTTGCGGCACTGGGATAATGTTGTTGTTGTTGAGTTTTATTTTGTGGGATATAACTTTGCCAATTGATGTTTTCTTTTCATGGGTCTTCAATTTTATTGAAAGTGGTTATCTCTAGCACTTGCCTTTAGTTTCCTAGTTCTTTAATGTATGTTCTTTTTCGGTAAATGCTTTTAAGACTGTTTGTTTGGGACTTTGGGGTGGAGGTGGGGGGTCGGGATGGGGTTTAGTTTTTTATTCTAGTTTTTGGTAAAATTGCACAGGGTTTCCATGAATTTTTATTATTAGAAAAAATCGCTGGATTAGTGATTAATAATTATTTTCTCTATGTGAAGTCATTACTAGTTGTGATGCTGATTGCTTTAGATGTTTTACTTACCTTTCAATTTTCTCTTGGTGCTATAGTGCAATTTTTTGTTCTTTAAATGCTGAAAATGCGGTGTTGGTGCGTGGGTTGGTTTCCTTCACAAAGGGTGACAATTGTCTGCAATTAGCATAATTAATGGATCAGTGATTATTGGTTGTAATTTTTTTCCTTTGACTTTTCTCTTGGTACTTTAACACCTTCGCTCTTTAGTGTAAATTTCTTGATCTGTATATTCTAAAAAGGCTCTTTAGGTTGTGTGGGTTGTTGGGTTTGGTTGAGTTAGTCTCTTTGTGAAAACGGAATATTCAGCTATTTAATCTGAGTCTTGCTATAAGTACAAAAACACTTATGAAAAATCTTACAAAAAGCATATCTATTTTGTGTCACTTTTAGAAAAAGTAAATATAGTGATTGACTAATAGCATTTTCCATAAATGTATGGGCTTCTCATTAACTCTTGTAATTAGCAACATTTACTGATTATTCTTTATATTACTGATTGTTGCATATGTATTTTCCTTTTATTTCCTTTTGATTTTGAAATCAGGGAACTCGTCTTAGTTAAAAATAAAATCTAAAATGACTTATATGTGTATTTTCTTGCTCACCTTTTCTCAAAGGAACTTAAGCACATTTGTTCTAGAAGAAAGCACAATAGCTGAGAAAGATGGGGAATGGCTTCATGAGCTTGCGGTGAACAACAAAGTTCTTGAAAATCTCAACTTTTACATGACAGAGCTTTTGAGTGTCAAACCCGAAGACATTGAATTGATAGCCAGAAATTGTCCACACCTTGTGTCAATGAAAATATGTGAATCTGACATGTCTTCCCTTTTTGGCTTCTTTCGGGCAGCAACTGCATTAGAAGAATTTGCAGGCGGTTCTTTCAGCGTACCTGACCCCATTGGTGAAAACATGCAGTATGCTGATATTGTGTTTCCTCCCAGGCTGTGTTCTCTCGGACTGACATATTTGGGAATAAATGAAATGCCAATTCTCTTCCCTATCTGTTCCCGTCTTAGAAAGTTGGATCTTCTATATGCACTACTTGACACTCAAGGTCACTGCACCTTACTGGAAAAGTGTGTGAATTTGGAAATTTTAGAGGTTAGTTTGAATCTCAGCTTTGTGTCTATTAAATGCAACTTGGTTATTTTATGCGTGTTTGTCTATCCTCTTGTTTATGATGAATGCGACCTGATAATGTTTTAATTTCACAATTGTTGCTACCTTTAACACTTACAAATCAACAAGGGGGGTATATTGTTCCCTTAATGGATAGTTATTTGAGAAGGGCGGGGTTACATGACAGCTGTTCTCTATCGAAGTCTGCTCTCTGATTTTTTTTCTATAAAGGGTATGCTTGACTTAATCAAAATACTTTTGAAATGCTTATATAGTTATATTTTTTCCTTAACTTGAATTGAATTTTATAGTCCCAAACTGTCCATGTACATGGCCTTCTTTATGTTTTTAAGGAAGTGTATACTATTTGTGATTTCCTTTTAAAGTCTTAGGGTATGTTAGACTTAATCAAAATACTTTTGAAATGCTTATGTAGTTATATTTTTTCCTTAACTTGAATTGAATTTTATAGTCCCAAACTGTCCATGTACATGGCCTTCTTTATGTTTTTAAGGAAGTGTATACTATTTGTGATTTCCTTCTAAAGTCTTAGGGTATGTTACAAATTTACGATCACAGGAACTGCTTGGTCCCTCCTCCCTTTTTTTGTAAATGACTTATAAAGCACAAAAACTTTATGAACAGGCAAGAAATGTAATAGGAGACCGAGGATTAGAAGTTTTCCCTTTTTTGTAAATGACTTATAAAGCACAAAAACTTTATGAACAGGCAAGAAATGTAATAGGAGACCGAGGATTAGAAGTTCTTTCCCGCTTTTGCAAGAAGTTGAAGAGGCTGAGGATTGAGAGAGGAGCTGACGAACAAGGAATGGAGGATGAAGAGGGTTCTGTCACACAGAGAGGACTCATTGCCTTATCGCAAGGATGTCATGAACTCCAATATTTCGCGGTTTATGTATCTGACATCACAAACCAAGCCCTTGATTACATTGGCAACCACATGAAACAACTCTCTGATTTCCGTTTGGTTCTTCTTGATCGCGAAGAAAGGATAACGGACCTCCCTCTAGATAATGGGGTGCGCTCTTTGTTAAGGGGTTGCCGTTTGCTTATAAGGTTCGCCTTGTATCTCCGGTCAGGTGGGCTAACTGATGAAGGATTGAAATATGTGGGCCAGTATAGCCCAAATGTGAGGTGGATGCTTCTTGGGTATGTTGGGGAATCAGATGATGGACTTCTACAGTTCTCAAATGGGTGCCCGAGCCTGCAGAAGCTTGAAGTGAGGGGCTGTTTCTTTAGCGAACAGGCACTTGCTATGGCTTCATTGAGGATGAGATCTCTGCGGTATTTGTGGGTGCAAGGGTTCAGGCAGTCTTCAATCGGGCAGGATCTGTTGCTCATGGCCCGCCCTTTTTGGAACATTGAGGTCATTCCTCCAAGACGGGTCATCTCAGTGGGTGAGGATGGTGAGACCGTGTCTGCTGACCATCCTGCCCATATACTCGCGTATTACTCACTTGCTGGACGGAGGACGGATTCTCCAGAAACGGTCATCTGTTTGGAGACAAACAACATGGAGCTTGCTGGTTAGGGATTTGTACTTTCCTTTTTACACCTTTTGTTGTTTCCAAATTTCTACCGCTGTAATAAACTCCTCTGTTTTCTATGGATTTAGTTTTTTTTTTTTGTTATATGCCGCAAACAAATACTCTACCATATCATTGAGTGAAACCTTTCTTGTACAATATGGAGTAATTCTTTTTAGTTGGCATTTTTCTTCTTTCTTGTGTTGCTGCTTTTAGGTGTATTTTGGTAAGATGTAATGAAATGCGTGTAAAGTAAACTTACACTAAAGATGTACTCTGTATAATTACATTACATTTTTGTTCAAACAATAATAACCAATCAACAGTCACTCCATGCAATTTTTAACGCAATCTTCACCATGGCTCATCCGGAAATATGGGTGGACTGGGCAGGGTCTGGGCCGGGATTGGGCCGGGTCCGGGTCCGGGTCCGGGCCGGGACTGTGCAGGCTCTAGGTCCAACAACATTAGGCCTGGTTGACCCCTGCTTTGCTTTATGTCATCAGCATTTAGGGAGGTCACTTGGAGGAGGAAGGATAGATTCTTTATGGTCCTCACCATTTTCCACCAAAAATGCCATCTTTAGTCCCCATGTTGTATGAAGGAACTCGAGCAATTTCTCATACTGGGAGATTCTTTAGGGTCCACTACACTTCTACAAAAACTAGAGGTTGTTACCTTCGTAGAATAGGAACCAAAATGTAACCTTCGTAGAATAGGAACCAGTAAATCCAGTAATTTATAAACACTATTGCAAACCTTTCTAGAATAGGAACCAAAACCAGGCTACAATGGGACTGGAATGACCCTTATTCATAATTTATAAACACTATTGCAAATCTTACATAGAAACAAATCCAGTAAATCTCTTTCTAAAAAGGTATTGTCTAGAGAGGATGAGATAACGGCAGACCCTATTTTACTAGTTACTCCTCTATGAGTAAAGAGGTTGTTTTCGTGAAGATAGATGAATAATAAACCCACCTCTTTTTTTTTGTGTAAACCCAAATGTAACCTTCGTTGAATAGGATACTATTTATGACGTTGCAAGAAGCCATATTAAAAGTAGCACAGTTTATCGGTCTACCCGTTGCAGTTTGATTATCAGAGGGAACTATAGTTCCCTAAAAGGAGAAATGGCAATGAGATATTAGCCGGATTTGTGATGTGCAGTTACAAATGCACTTGTGGTCTGGCCGGAACCCGTGAAAACCGTATTTGTCTTGAAGGGTTTAACATAAGTGGCATCAACCTCAACCACGGTAAATTCATGGCCCGTAATCTTGAAAAACAGCTCCTCGTTTACCGCTGCATTCGCAATGCGTAACAAGTAGGTTTTGGACGCGATTTTCATTATGGGACAAAGAGGCTGTTAGCGATCAATTCTTTGGTCGCACATATGCACGCAGGGGACAACGTGGAGCAGAGATGATTAATCCAAGTGGCTAAGGGAAAGAATAAGCAAGTCAGGAGGGTCATATTAATATTAGGAATATTTTAATTAGTCCTTCTTTAATTCCTATTTCGTTATTAGAAGTTATGTCTGAATTAGCAACTAGTTTCCTAATTGTTTTTAGGAAACCCTTAATTTCTATTTAAGGGGATCCCAGTAATTTTAATAAACAGCTTTTGGTTGATTATGAGTTCTCTTGACTAGGTCGGGGAAAAGTAATTATCGCTTAAGCCTTTAGTCTCGTTTATCTCTTCCCAGTCAATTAAAATAGCTTCAAACAAACCATCGTTTACCTGCGGCTCTTCTCGTTCACGCCCTTGGACGAGATCATTAACTAAAGCTCTTAACAATTTGGTATCAGCTTCCGGGACGATGGGGACAGACTCTACATCGGCAGAATCATTGAAAACAATGATTGAAAGCGTGGACCAACGACAACTGACTCTGGAACAACAATTGGCGGATTTGCAAACCGCTATGGCGCAACTAGCCACCCTTCCGGCGGCGATGGAGGCTCTATCCGCAGCAGTGCAAAAAGCGAACGGGGAAACTTCTTCCAGTTCACCCCGATTCTTCCGCAGAAGGGATGTCGATTCTTCACGCCATGACCATGATGACTCCTTCGTTCCCAGATATTCGAAGCTTGAGTTTCCACAGTTCGATGGGAAGGGCGATCCTCTGTCATGGCTGAAAAGGTGCGAGAGCTTCTTTATTCAGCAACGCACGCCAGCACAAACTCGCGTCAGTCTGGCGACCTTCCATATGATAGGTACCGCGCAGTTATGGGCTGATCAATTGGATACAAATACCTCACCAATTTCTTGGACCGATTTCTACAGTCGGTGTATCAAACGCTTTGGCCCACCAAGTAGCTCGAACCCAGAAGGTGACTTGGCAAAACTACGACAGACCGGTGAATTAGAAAATTATATCGAAACGTTCAAACAAATGTTGGCTCGAACCGTGGGAATTTCTGTCCGAATGCAAGTAAAAATATTCACCGCAGGGCTACGAGAGGTTGTACGTATGGAAGTTGAATACCAGGATCCTCTTGATCTGGATTCTGCAATGATGCTAGCCAGGGCCGTGGAGCGCAAATACAGTGTAGGCTATTCTTCGCCTGCCCTACCGCTACGACCCCAATCAATTGCCCGTTCAGAATCAGTACTTAGTTCTACGGAATCAAATTTATCCCGGCGCACCTCTAATCCAAACTTCAAAAGGATTTCTCGGGCAGAAGCAGCGGTTCGTTGCGAAAAAGGCCTTTGTTATAACTGTGACGATCCATGGGTTCGCGGCCATCAATGCAAGAAATTATTCTTTATCGACATTATAGAGGATGACCGGTCTGAAGAACAGTTTGAGCCAGCCCTATCTCTTCATGCTATGACTGGTATCGGCTCCACGTCTACCATGCAGTTAGCCGCCACCCTTAACACCACACCCATCACAGTTCTGGTGGACTGTGGCAGTACTCATAATTTTATCCATCAACGTCTAGTTCCGGAAAGTAAACTTTCAAGACACCAGAAACCAGGTCTTCATGTTCTAGTAGCTAATGGCGACCGGGTACCAATTCTGGGCTCATGTCCTCGACTTGAATTTTTAGTGGACGGCAAAACATTTACAGCTGACTTTTATGTACTTCCGTTGGCTGGATTTGACATGATATTGGGCGTTCAGTGGCTGCGCAAGCTTGGTGCAATTGAGTGGGATTTTTCACGCCTTTTCATGCGCTTCACATGGCAGAACATAAGCGTGGAATGGCACGGTCATGCTAGCACACCTACACTTCAGGCCCACATGATTACCACGCCATCTCCCAAATTAGAAAGCCTCCTTGATCAATTTGAAGACCTCTTCCGTTTACCATCGGGACTGCCACCAGCACGTGCGTGTGATCATAAGATCACGTTAATTCCAGGAACTAGCCCGGTGGTTGTTCGCCCTTACCGTTATCCTTACTTCCAAAAAGACGAGATTGAGCGGCAATGTTCTGAGATGCTCCAACAAGGTATCATTCGGCCTAGTCGATCTTCCTTTTCATCGCCCGTCCTTCTTGTTAAAAAAAATGAGGGCACATGGAGGTTTTGTGTTGACTACAGAGAACTTAATTCCCGAACCATTAAGGACAAGTTTCCAATTCCTGTCATCGACGAGCTGCTGGACGAACTACATGGCTCCCAATTCTTTACCAAACTTGACTTACGATCGGGCTATCATCAGATCCGCATGGCAGAAGAAGATATCGAAAAGACCGCTTTTCGGACGCATCATGGCCACTTTGAATTTTTAGTCATGCCGTTTGGACTCACCAACGCACCATCTACGTTTCAAAGCTTAATGAACGACATCTTTGCATCGTACCTTCGCAAATTTGTCCTCGTCTTTTTCGATGACATACTCATTTATAGCAAGTCTTGGGTTGAGCACGTTTCTCATGTTCATCTGGTATTGGAAACATTGCGCACTCATGGCCTTGCGTTAAAAAAGTCCAAGTGCAGTTTTGGAGCGCCTACAGTCCAATATCTCGGTCATATTATCCATAGCAAGGGCGTTGAGGCAGATCCGGCCAAAATCCAAGCCATCAAGGAATGGCCAACACCCCGATCAGTCACAGCCTTACGCGGGTTTTTGGGCCTCGCTGGTTATTACCGCAAGTTTATTCAGCATTACGGGGAAATTGCTGGACCACTCACCCAATTGCTAAAGAAGAATGCTTTTTCCTGGAACGACGCCGCAGAACAAGCCTTCTGTGATCTCAAACGTTGCCTCTCCTCGGCCCCAGTTCTCCAGTTACCGAATTTTGAGAAAGAATTTGTCGTCGAATGTGATGCCTCCGGATCAGGTTTTGGGGCAGTTTTGCAACAGGAAGGCCATCCCATTGCTTATTTTAGCCGCAAGATTGCTGCCCGACATGTTAAGCTAGCAGCTTATGAAAGGGAATTGATCGGGTTAGCCAAGGCAGTCACCCATTGGCGACCCTATTTATGGGGCTCTGAATTTATTATCCGGACAGATCATTCCAGCTTGAAACATTTACTGGATCAACGGCTTACTACATCTCCACAACAACATTGGCTAAGTAAATTAATGGGCTTTAATTTTCGGGTTGAATACAAACCGGGACGCCTCAATACTGTCGCCGATGCCTTGTCCCGCCAACAGGAAGATGTTATGCTTATGGCCGCAATCACCATTCCCTTCAATACTCTCCTCAGCGAAATACGGTCCGAACAAGCAGTTTCCCCCATTATGAAGAATATCCGTCAGGAAATCCAGGAGGGCAAGCGAGACAGTGATTGGGAAATCCGGGATGGATTAATCTATTACTGCTTCAAACTCTATTTGTTAGAAACATTTGGAGTGGTTCAAACCTTGCTCTCGGTATTTCACAACATGGCTCATGAAGGTGTTGAAAAAACTCTTCAACGTCTACGACGAGAGTTTTATTGGACAGGAATGAAGACTACGGTAACAAACTTTGTTCGGGATTGCCAGACATGCCAAAAGCAAAAGTGGTTAACGTTACAACCGGCCGGCTTATTACAACCTCTGCCTATTCCAAATCATATTTGGGCAGATATCACCATGGACTTCATTGAAGGTTTACCCAAGGTTCGCAATAAATCGGTAATTCTGGTTGTTGTTGACAGACTCTCTAAAGCCGCTCATTTTATTCCATTGGCTCACCCATACACGGCAGTTTCTGTGGCCAGCATATTTTTTTCTGAAATATTCCGTCTTCACGGACTA